TTTGATGAATTATAACAGTCCAACCTCTAACTCTTTTGAAATATGTTCCAAGATTTCTTTATTTACTGTTTGCTTAATGTCTTTTACCATTTTATGTGAAACATCAACAATTTAAGCCAATTTAAACATCAACAAATGGCCAAAATGAACGACTGAGTACCTAAGGAGAGACTGGGCACTAGTAGGTTCAATGACCTTTTTATGTCATATTTTATTGGCCCTAGGCTTAAACACATGTTTGAATGGAGTTTGAAACTATTGCTTCGTATACCAATTGAAAGTGATTTAACACCTTTCAAGCGCTGAAGTGGTTTTCGTTTCTTCTTAGAGTTACTTGTGTCAGTTTTGCACACGCGACTAATACTGACATCTGCCAGGCAATCATAGGGCGCACTACTGAGTCTCAGAAAAACTATAGTAAGCCACCTTAACTGACAAGGTCAGGGAAAAATTGAATTGCCATATGTCTGATACCCTGGGCCAAGACAAGTGGAGTTTAAAGTCTGTGGTACTTAAAGACAAAATTTGCATCTTTCCCATCTAAGCCATTTTAAAACATAAACGAGTAGTCTGTATAAGAAGACAATGCTGTTTACTATTTTTAAATAACTCTTTTCGTTCAAGAGATATTCAAGTTTTTAAAATATGCAAATAATGTCATCCACTCAACCAAATTTTGATCAAACATGATGAAGAAAGATATCTCAAATAGTTGGTATCACAAATGTTTGATACTGTAAAGTAGGATTCTACTTAATGTGCTCCACAATATGAGCTTGACAGTTTTGTTACCATGGCAACATACTGGGTTCCAGACCTCCCCAATATTGAAGGCTTTTCTTGCCACCTTTGGCGTTCCATTTTGAAATTTGCTAATGGTGCCTCAACTGGTGCCTCAACTGGTCCCTTGGGGAACTGTGAATTTTGTTTCCCTCGAATCTCAATGTTTCCCTTGACTTCGCCTTGGGAAAGACTGAGATTCTCTGGAAACAAAATTCACTGTTACCCTCGGAACCAGTCATTAAGTGTTAAATGTTAACCCAATGGCAAGTTACCCCTAATATCATTATATTTATAAGGTTGCATACAGTACACTGTCTGGCACCCATATATACCCGTTTGATAATAAATGCACTATTCAAAGATAATCTTTCTTGACCAAGAAGATGGCACAGCGGCACTGGCAAGCCCTCAAAACCAATTAAGAAATCACTTTCTTCAGGCTTACTATTCCATGTTATAACCATTATTAGGGCTGCCAAATCTCTTGCCTATAAAATGTGCCAAAACGTCTTGTTTCAAGAAATATAAAATAGGTCATACAGTCATTCCCTGTATAGTCAAAAAATTTATAGAACTTGGTAGTGGCACATTCAACAAAGGGTTAAAACATTACCTTACTGAAATAACAAACTGTCCAGATTTCTCAACCTGTACTTTATGGTCAGAGGAGTCTAAATTAAGTTTAATACCTTCCGCTGAAAAAAAGTAAAATATATAGACACAATATTATATATTATATACCCTTAATGAAGTTGACAAATAATTAAGTTAATCAGTATATCAAAGTCGTTTTCTCCAGGCATACTTACCTTACAAATATTAAATTTTGCACAAGCATAATCAACCGAGCAAATTTGACTAAAATTAGACGAATCGCCAAAATTGAGTTGTAACTCTTCATCCTGTCCTTATCCGGCGAAAATATCGTTTTGAGGAAACAGCGCTTGACAATAAATATCAATGACCAAACAAACGCGGTCCACAAACCCATTCAGGACAGTTCACTGAATAATATTTAGTCTTTTTGGGTTTTCTCTTTTTCGTCTGAAAGCTCAAAGTTCAAAGCTTATTTTTAGGAAGAAAAAGGTTTATCTTCACTCCTGAGTCCTA